TAACTTAGTTACCTTCCCTAACGTTTATATATTGAAATTTAAATAATGCAGTGCATCACCTTAGCCTTTTTCACTAAAATGACTTTTAGATGTACACAATTCTGCCTAAGTAAAATGATGAATCCAACAATTTTTGTCTTAGAAAAATACTCTGATGATGACATTGTGCCAATGTCGAAAGTACTCGGAATAAATAAATATGTATCAACCTGGTCATTTTTGTCTTCCTTTAATAAAGATACTAAGAAGATTGTCTGTAAATATGAGAGGATCCTATTGAAAATAAGTAGACAAAACTTGTCTAAATTATTCAATGAGACATTTCTTAATGAAAACATGCTGCCAAAATATACGCAATATATATATATATATATATATATATATTTATGAAGAAATATAGTCTTAAGGTGTGCTATATTTATGGGATAAAGTGCTCAATATCAGAGATAGAGCGTGTGTAAATATAAAAGTGAACATAGAAGTCACCTTAGAGGCGACAGTCTGTTTCATGTTATATGCAATAGGCCACGTGTACATATATATATATATATATATATATATATATATATATATATATATATATATATATATATATATATATATATATATAAAGTAAAGTACAAAAATTCGTTGGTATATAATCCAAGTGGATCCTAGTAATATAAAATTTAAACTTATCCACAAAAAGAGCTCAATGTATTTATTATTACAGAGTAAATAATTAATAAACGATAAAATCCAAAATCACCTCATATGGGAAATGACCTATTTCGGCAGACGAACACATCGGTCGTTTGTCTTATCAAGCCAGGCGTGGACTGAATTCGTGTCAGAAATAAAAATTTAACTGTGAAAGCTAAAAAAAAAAAAAAAATCTCACAACAGTCGAAAAACTAATAGAGAATATATCCGTTTCAATGTTTCAGTCAGTTGAAAAGCAAATAGTCGAGGGTCAGGGATATGTGGAAGGTATTTGTCTTAAAGGGAGAAATTTTATAAATTTAAACCCAAATAATAACTGTATGACATTAATTTTGTCTTATATTAAGAATAAAATATTAATTTAAAATTAAAAGAGGAATGAAAATAGGTTTAAAAGGAACTTTAAAATCTACAGATAAAAGGATGTAAGGGTTTAATAGAAAGAGGGATGGGGCGATCTTAGACTAGTGTGTGCGTGTGTGTGTGTGTGTATATATATATATATATATATATATATATATATATGTCTGTGTGTGCGTTTTATTTTTTTTTACTGATTGTTCACACAGTTTAAGGCCCAAGATCCACTCAGGGTAGAATGTACTTAATGATGTTGTACGGGCGTAAATGGTAAAAAAGAACTGTTTTCTTATAAGGAGACATTTGGCATTCACTGACCGAGCAGCAAGTGAATACTTTCGGTTGAAATTTATAAAATCTTTCTCTTAAAACAATTTTTCAATAAAAAATCGTTTTTCAAGTCCAGTAGATGTTATCGCTCTTTCAAGTACTGCGGGAGGTTTCCTTCCTAAACTTTTGTTTGAAGTGTTGTGGAATGGCAACATCACGATTATATCTTTATTTTCTCCTCGGTTTATATGTAATATCCATTTTAGTTGTTGCCGCTGTTGAAAGTCCTCAAGTGATAAGACTTCTGTTATTTGCTACAGTTCATTATTTGTGATTATGTAGCGCCTGTCCACAATGTTCAAAGATGGATGATCTTTGCTAAGACCCTCAGGCTTCACCGGAAAGGAAGCAAGAAGTGTATATTATGAGGATATGTAGGATAGATAAAAATAATTGGAGTTTGCAGGCCACTGCTAGCGAACGGACAGGGAAATAGTCTTATCCTTATTCCTATGGCAGCCTCTGGAAGCGTCTTCTCACGAAAATTGACATTCCCAGACACCATAGCTCGGGACACAGGGTTGGACATTGGGCATCTGGAGAGAGCAATAAACTGACCGAATATTGTGGAAAAGATTGTCAATGGAGTTTCGACCAATCTGTTGTAGCATACCTACAGACGATAATGGGTATGTCCCCATTTCCATAAATACAGTAGAATACTGTACGTAGTCTGGAGTTGGAGAATCGTCTCCAGCTGAACTGCTCAAACTCTCTACCTCTGGACAGCGAGTATCCCCAGACGAGGCGATGTTGAAGGACAGAGTCTTATCTCGGGAAACAGCTATCTGAACACGTTTTATACGGCGTCTACGGGGAATTTTTGGCCGAGACAATTAAATTGGGCCTTGTTCCACATCAGACCGCGTGGGGCGGTTGACAGATATCCTAGAGTTGGAGATGCATTGTGGAATTCACTTGACTCACTTCTAGCAGTTGACTAGTACTTCAACGCCGCGCAGGCGGATCTTGTATATGTTGTTCTTGTCCTAAGTATTATCGTTCACTAGCAGCATGGTCCGGCGTTGCCCGTGCTTGATTCAAAAATCGTACGACTCATACAGCAATCGATATCACTTGACTTAAAATATTTTGCCCTCCCTTGCATTTAAGGAAGTGCCCTTTTCCGTGCTGATGTTGCTACCTGCCTTACTTCTTGTCTATCTCACACTACGAATTTTTTCTAAGCTCTATACTAAACATTAAATCTGTTACGAAAAAAAGAACTAAACAAAATGAACACAAAACGATCATCTTTAAAAAAAGAACTCGTAAAAGGAAAAACCGAATGAAAAAAAGAATGTTAACAACAAATACTTTTTCGCACCCAACCCAGTTCTGCGGAACCAGAATCAACGTTGAGTATAAGCAAGCGAATGATCGAATTGGAGTAAAGTGCCATGCAGATTTAAATTTTTCCCACTTGTGACGAATGCAGCTATCGATTTTTTTTTTGCATGATAGCATGCTAGTTAACATTTGTGTCAGTCGGCTGTTGGCTCTCACGCTGGCCAATAGAATCTTCCTGCCTATTCGTGGCAGCCAGCAATTGGCTCTCACTCTGGCCAGTACAAAATGGCCGCAAACTACATGAAAACTGCCGTAGAAGCATGAAAAAAATCGATTATTTCCACTATCGACGGGAAAAGTTGGTCTTTGCCTTCCCGCTAACTTGGAGCATGTGCATGTAAATTTTGGTGCAAATCCGTCGAAAATTTCGGCCGTGCATTCGTTACACATACATACACATCCTGCCTTTTATAGATAGATATTAACAAGCTAAAGTTTGATTTTTCTATTCAGTAACCTTCCCTAGGTTACAACACAACCATAGGAAGGCCGAAGGATGACGATGAAGTGGACAGATAACGATTGATCCTAGTCTTGAAGCGGTTAAGATTGTACTGATCAAGGAAGTTTGTTACTTTTACGACTTTTGAGATGAAGCTTTCTGAATCGGGCCGCCTTCTTATTAATGGAATACAAAGGATGATTCGACCTCGTGTACTAGGCAAGGTGGGTCTTAGCTGTGAATGTCTTGAACTAGGGAATATAGCTCATCAGAACATTTTCTATAGAAAAAGCGATGGGCTTGCGACATGGAATTTGTAGGAAAAGTATTGCTACAGCTGCTACGGAAGCCACTTTGCCCCAGCTTTCACGGTCTTGACAGAGAGATGGGATATCCTCCAGCGCTAGATTAATTTGCTGGAACTCCTGGCGGTCGACATCGGTAGGGTGGTCATCAGGTAGGGTGGTCATCAGTTCGTTGGAGGATGTGACCTTGCAAGCGAACACGGTGCTGAGCGATGGTGTGGTGGCTGGTATGGAGGATGCTCGGTGGAATTATACCCACAGACCAGATTGACGGCAATAGTCGCTTTTCAAGAGAAGAAAAAACACCCTGGGGAGCTGGATGGCCGAACAATTTTTAGGACGAATAACAAAAAATTAAATTTATTAAAAATTACGAAGGACAGGAAATTGTGGAGAGCCATGATCGCCAAAGTTCTGAAGGGACACAGCATACAGAAAGACAGTAATGAACATTCGGATGTGGTAATGATTTGCGAGATAAACAATTACTAATGAGTAATGACTTCTATTCTCACTGGATGCGCTCTTCGTGTGGCCTTGTGCCAAACTAAACTAAGCCAAGAAAATGAAATTGGGAGGCTTCAGCATGTGATAATGACTAGTGAGCTAGTCTGATTGACCGTTACTACAAAGAACTAACTTCGTTCCTCACCGAGTTTTCTTTTATTGTGGCCTTGTGCCATACGTAATTTAAGCTTAGTAAATTACATAGGATAGCTTCGAAGTACGGTAATGGCTAACGAGCTACTTTGGTTGACTATTACTAATGAGTTCGATTCTCACTGAACGCCCTTTTCTTGTGGCCTTTTGCCAAACTAGAGTAAGCTAATTAAATAACATTGGGACGCTTCAGCGTCCCAATGTTATTTAATTAACGAGCTAGTGTAATTGACCAATTAGAAATAACTTCGATCCTCACCAAGTGGCCTTATACCACACAATTATAGCCAAGTAAATAACATAAGACCCTCTTTTCTCTGGCCTTGTGAATGTGATAATAGCTAGCAAACTATTCTGATTGACCGTTACTACTGAGCATTAACTTCGATCTTCAAAGTGTGCTCTTATTTTGTGACCTTGTGCCATACGTAAGCTTATTAAATAACATGGGATCGTTTAAGTACGGTAATGGCTCGCGAGCTAGTTTGACTGACCTCACTAGGCGCTCTTTCTTGTAGCCTTGTGCCAAATTAAAATAAGCGTTGTAAATAACATAGGGCGCTCTTTTCTTGTGACCTTGTGCCCAACTAAAATAGTAAATAACAATCGGTCGCTTCAGTGTGCGTTAATGGCCAGAATGTTATTATTTGAGTGCTCTTGTAGCCTTGTACCAGTTTAAGCTTACGAATTAGCAAGATTGCTTCGGGGTTCGGTAATGGCAAGCAACCGAGTTTGTTTAACCATTACTAATGAGTTCGATTCTCTTTTTTTGTGGCCTTGAGCCAAACTAAACATTGTAAATAACAAGAAACAATTCTTTTTCAACTGTGGTTTATTATTTCATTATCTCCATGCAGCTGTTTGTTCCCGAAAGAGTCAGACGAATCCAGTATTTTAAATTTAAGGACGCCATCTTGTCAGACCGTTACTCGTAGTTTTTTTTTCTTTATCGCAAAACTTTAAATACAAAAGGAAATTCATCCATATAAATTTTATCCTGCCTTCAAAATCACTTAGAATTTATAATAGAATTCTCGAACGACTGCCGGCAAACGATTTGCATTAAACATCGTTTATACCAAAGTCGTCTGAAAATGATTATAATTTTTCTGCCCAGAGTCATGTGGTTGGTGGTTTGACTTGGCTATTGTTTCACGAGATGTTTGCTTATTCCCACCCTTTCTTTTTCTTTTTATATTAAAATTTCTCATCCTTTCTTTTTTTTTAATCTTCTTCCTTTTCTTCCTCTTCGATTTTTCTCCTTTTTCACTTTCTTCTTTCTTTCCTTCTTTATCACGTAGCTCTTTATGACATCATCACTGAGTTTGCAAATGCAAATGGCGGCTCTCATTGAAATAAAGGAACGGCTCCTAACATTCATGTGTGATGCGCGCTTCGATTCATAACTGACTTGTCAGAAGAATTCCTGTTCTAACCTGCCGTTACTTTCTACGGTAGACTCGTTGCCAACCGAGGCTATAGAATCTAGTTTTTCTTGTTATTTAACCAAAAAGAAAAGCTCTATTCATACTTTTCCTCAGGTTATTTGCGCGTAAGTGAATATAACGAACTCGACTGGAATCCGAACTTCGCTCTCCGATAACTCATTCCGACCCATTATTCATTACACCACCCGTACATCCACGCTTACATCATCTGATATTCTCAAGCGGTTGTCCATCTAAGGAATATAAATGTATAATGTCCAGAAAGCTGTTATTTGATATAACCATATAAGGAATATAAATATATAGAAACTACCGTGGACCAAAAATGAGGGATCATTTTATATATTGATTTTAATATAGAATTGGTCCCCCACTTTATATTCACATTACAATTTCTTGTTTGTTGATAAGTCGTAGAAAACGAATCAATCAGTCAATGAAATTCTGATTAGCTTCAACAAGATATGACGGTAAAGTCATACTCTGATCTTAATATTGTTTAGTCTCTTAATTTCTTCTCCTCCCCCGTCTATGGGTTAAATAGTAGGGTAGACAAAGATTAGGATGGTAGCCAGTCTCGAAGAAGGAATACACTGAATTCTAAATCCTAGAGAAGATAATAAGAAACCACTACATTATTTGCAATACACTCACTGATTTTAGAAATGTTGTTCTCGGGACGTTTTTCTTCATTCCTTAGCCATCGTGCTGGGATCAAAGTGTAGTATCTGTTCTCCCCATCTCTAATGGTAATATTAATCTTTTCCCTATAAGTAAACATTCGGCATTCATTGACAAAACAGCCATTGCCAATTGAGTTACGTTTTTCTTCATTCCTTGGCCTTCATGCTGGGATCAAAGTGTAGTATCTGTCCTCATCTCTAATGGTAATATTAGTCTTTTCCCTATAAGGAAAAATTCGGCATTCACTGACCGAGCAGCCAGTGCTAATCGAGTTACGCTTTTCTTCACTTCCTGGCTATCGAGCTGTAATCAACGTGTAGGATCTGTTTTCTTAATTTCTAATGGAAATGGTAATAGCCGTTTCCTTGTAAGGAAACATTCGGCATTCATTGACCCAGCAGCCTGTGCTACTCGAGTTACGCTTTACTTTGCTGCCTGGTCATTGTGCTGTGACCAAAATTTAGAAACAACAAAACCAGTGTTGCAGATATATCATATATTAAACACTAAGTACAACAGAAGAGTATTACACGACTAGTGAGTGTGTGTCGGTTGAACCAGCGTTCAATCTATTCGACTGTTCACCCAAGGCCTTCTCTCCTACTAATCTTATAGTAGGCGGAAGAATCCAACATAGACTCTTTAGAGGGAGGACACCACAACACATAAATAACAGGAAAATCATACTAAATTGTATGTTAATTTTATACAATTTATTGTGTGTGTGTTTTTTTTTTAGGTTACAATTGTTTTATGGTACATGTAATAAAGGGAGAATTTACTCCGTATTATTGGGAGACATATCACAGACAGAAGTTACAGACGTGTTGCTCGCACCAAGGTTCGTGGCGAAGAGATTGAATTTAACATCTTTGCCACGGTTTTTTTACGTCAGTTTGGTAGGGGCGGAGTATTGAATATGAAGAGGTCTATGTTGCCATGGTTTCTTCATTTTAGTACATTGCTTTTGCTTTCTTTTTAGGCTCTTTATCGCTGAAGTAAGTATATTGTTTTACTTGCATTTAGTTATCTAATAGATGATGGCTTTTTGACTTCTATAACTGTTTGTTCATTGTTGTGTAATGAAACAGTATAGTAATTCTATGGGGGGGGTCAATTGATTATTTAATAACAATGGAAAACCGATCCCCGATTTTATGTCCAGTTGAAACATATTAAAGTTTGACGTAAATATATCTTGAAACTTTTCATAGGTTCGGCCAAAACCATTTTAATGAGGAATACGCTGAGATTCATAGTAAAATCTGTCATAAAATAGTAACTCTCTGGGGGATTATTTTATTACTTAATATGAACAGAAAACTACCCCCCCACTTTATGTCCTTATTATTTAATGGAAATATACAGGTAATTTTCCTCTGACTCTTAGAGTAATTCATTTTGTGTATTATTCTTGCCGTTTGTAGGACGTTTTCTTTCTGTAACAGTTCACTAGGCAATCAACGCCAATTTTCTTTGTCAATAGCAATTACACTAATGACGACTTGTCTTAGTCACCGTAGCAATTACACTAATGACAACTCGTCCTGGGTATGACGATAAACTACATCCGGCGTCCTGAGTAAGACGATAAACTACACCCAACAGCAAGGCATCTGATCAGGAGGTTTTGAGGAGTGTGGAACCACCTCTTAAACTACCAACCGGGCCAGAGTAGACCTGAGAACACCAGCACTTAAGAGGCGGTGCCACGGTCCTCAAAACCTGATCAGAGGCCTTGCTGTCGGACGTAGTTTATCGTCTTACCCAGGACGAGTAATAATATAAGTAATAAAATAATCCACCAGCGAGTTACTATTTTATGTCAGATTTCACTATGAGTCAATACTCTGTCCCTACCAAAGAAGCTGATGTAAACAAACCATATTCCCATAAGTGGTCACGTAGTTTCATATTTTATTCTTGCTGCACAAGACCAATGCTTGTTAACTAGAAATTACCAAACACACAATTGTGTTAACATAAAATGCAGATATATCCAAAATCAATCGATTATCTTGTATCAGGTTACACGGTGTTAGCACCCACTGAATATAAAACATGGCATGATAGAGTGAGCCAATATCAGCACTGGAATATATGCAACTTTTACGAGAAGTAAACTGCAAGAAACTGATATGAACATTACCCACACCCGTTAGAGAAATTGGATCTGTAACAGTTTTATGGAACTTTACAATACAAACATGTACTCAGAAGTCGAGCTCAGACATTACAAAGAATTTTATTTATGTTAAATGTGTGTGATAAGTTTTTGTATTTTGTATTTGCTTAAGGCATGGGTTACCAGCAATCCTTTCAATGAGTCTATCGGAACCTTTAAAAAGATAAGCATCTTCATGGTCAATACCCTCTCAGTATCAAACAAGCTGATGTAAACAAACCCCATACCCATCAGGGGTCACGTAGTATAAGTTTATTTTCTTGCTTCACAGGACCAATGCTTCCTAACTACAAATTACGAAGCACACATACTGAAAAATTGTGCTAGCCCAAAATGCAGATTCTGTGATAAATATCCAGAAACAATTGAACATCTTGTATCAGGTTGCATGGTGTTAGCGTCCACTGATTATAAAACACGGCACAACTGAGTAGGCCAATATCTGCACTGGAAAATCTGCAACATTTACGGAAATGAAACGGCAAGAAATTGGTATGAACATCACTCAGATCCGTTTATGGAGATAGGACCTGTAACAAAGATTAGTTCAAATAGAACTGTTTTACAAAACTGCAGCAATCGGCCTTCAAAGGTACCTGGAAGCTACCGAAGACTGGTTGGTGATTTGTGTCAATAACATGAAAGGTGTAATTAATATTTATTCAGTAATAAAGGAAGCCAACAAATTTAGAAGCGAATTTCAAGTGGTGAATAAATACAAGTAAAGCATAATAGACTTAAAAAATAAAAAACGTTAGAAAAGAAGTCAAAGGCAAAATGCAATGGACCACATACAGAAATGGTCAATATCCTGCCGGTATGAAATAAGCTGATGTAGACGAACCCCGTGCCCATCAGTGGCTACGTAATAAAGGGTTAAAAGCTGAATCTGAAGGTTTTATTCTGTGATAAATATCCGGAAGCAATTGACCATTTTGTATCAGGTTGCATGTTGTTAGCGTCCACTGATTATAAAACACGGCACAACAGAGTAGGCCAATATCTGCACTGGAAAATAATAATAATAATAATAATAATAATAATAATAATAATAAATCATAAAGCACTTACTGCAGGGACAAAGTGCCTGAAAGGAAAGCAAAAGCAAATGCAATTTACTAAATGCAGAAAAGATGACTAGATAAACCTCTTCATGTTCAATTCTCTGCCACTACGAAACAAGCAGACATAAATAAATCCGGTACCCATCAGTGGTCACGTAGTTTAAGGTTTTATTCTTGCTACACAGGACCAATGCTTGGTAACTAGAAATTACCAAGCACACACTTGTGTTAACATAGAATGCAGATATATCCAAAATCAGTTGACTATCTTGTGTCAGGTTAAAACGGTGTTAGCACCCACTGAATATAAAACACGACAAAACAGAGTAGGCCAATATTTGCACTGGAAAATTTGCAACTTTTACGAGAAGTAAACTGCAAGAAATTGGCATGAACATCACCCACACCCGTTACAGAAATTGGACCTGTAATAGTTTTATGGAACTTTACAATACAAAGAAAATGTACTC